TATCTATATATATATATATATATATATATATATATATATATATATATAGCAGATGTAGTGAATAGAAAGGCGCGCAAAGATGCGGCTGTCGAGGAAATAATAAAGCTTCTCCATTTTGCAGAGCGATGCGATTCCTCCGCACGCCTCCCCTCTCCCTCCACCCTCTTCGAGGCACGCGTTTCACACGTGCTCGAGCGAGGCGCGCGGAATTAGACGAACCGATCGGCGGCCGGTCTTCCTTTCCCCGAAAAATAGCGAAAAGTTTCGTCCTCGAGGAGGAAAGTTTCCTCGAGAAAGTTCTCGCCGCCGCCCCTCCTTATCCGTCCCCTTCCCTCTCTTCTCGAGAATCCTCGAGCGATAATCCTTAAAGCGGATGGACGGGTAATTTTTCAACAATAATTTTTATATCGTTACAAAAAAAAGAAAAAAATTGTAAAACACGTTTCATTGGTTTGCCACGTTTTCGCCAATTGGAGAAAAACGTTACTTACGCGCCTCCATATCGGGATTCCTCCCGGACCACGCCTTTTAACTCGGCTCGCGACAAAAGACACGAGTTCGTTCGTTCACGGAGGGAGAGAATGGGAGAGAGGGGCTCTTTTAACGATTTTCTCCGAATGTCCGTGCTCCACGGCTCCGTGCTGAATCTTTAATTTCCCGCGTATCGATCGGCCCCGCGTGTCCGTCTTCCGCGTGATTTCCAACCGTCCCCCGCCGCGGTGACGTTTTAATCGCGCCTCGCCGATACTCCATCGCGCTGTCGAGCGAAATTAAGGGGGTCCTGCCATCCAAACAGACATCCGGACACCGCGAACGCGAGACGTGGATGCGGTTTATGAGCGCGGCGATTTTAATTAAGTCGCTTAAACGGTGAGAGCGTGCCGTCTCGTCTCCGTTTCCGCCTCTGTGTGTGTGTGTGTGTGTGTGTGCGCGCGCGCGCGCGCGCGCGCGACGCTTCTTTAATCTCGCGTACGTCCGGCCGAGCATTATCTTCCATCTATGAATTATTCAGGGAATAAATTATTCATGGGTCGAGATCGTAGTTACGAGCCGTTAGTTTCAACGGATACGCGAAAAACAGGTGACTTCGAACCGAGTCGGGTCAATGATTTGACGTTAATGAGGGCCGATGTGGCAAACGATGTGGGGAGGACGAATGTCGGAAGGAATCCTTCGAATATATGGATTTGCCTTTTCTCTCTTTTCCTTGATTCGAAGCAATTGGGAAAACCGGAAAACCGGTTATTTCTCTGATTTTAAATTTCAGTCAAGATCTGCTGACGGTATGCAGGGAACTGAATCTGGAGAATTCGGTGGAGGAGTTAATGAGAGAATTGGGGGCGGACGAGCACGGTCGCATTTCCTATCAAGAGTTCCTGAGGTGTCGGTTGGCCCTTCGTCCCGAGATCGAGGCCCTCAGATCCGGCAAGCACAGAACTAGCCCCCATCACACGCACACGCCCGAATACTTGCCGACCAGCAGCGACAACAGTCTCGGTAAGTGTATCTTTCTTTCTCTCTATCTTCGAGCAACCAACCAACCAATTTTCGTCTCGATCGACCGCTCGTTATCTGGCTGGATCGAATTCGAACTCTGATTTACCGAATCCGATTCCGATTTCAGCGGATTCATTGACGGTAAATTTCGGATGATACGGTTGTCCCGTTTGTGTTCAGGCACCATATCCGGCCGGCATGAACGCTGGGAATTCGATAGCGGAGCACGAGATCTCTCACCGGAGCCCCACACTCTGCAGAAACTAGTGGAAGCTGCCGCGGGAGGGACTGGTAACATGCTGGACCTGGCAAACAAGGTGAGCGATTCACGGTTTTCTCCTATCCTCATCGAGTCGAAAATGCTTGGGCTCCTTGATCGAGTAATAAGCGGATGGAAATTTATAGAAAAATGCGAAAAATGTTCGTCACGAAACATGTCGTTCGGCGAAATTATTCCGTTCGCCGTTGATGGATGTCGAGTATTCTCTCTCTCTCTATATATATATATATATATATATATATATATATATATATAGTAGTAGTAC